CGCACTTAACTAGCCATCCAATCCGATTTAATTCACCACAGTGACAGCTGAAAAGATCCTTTGAAGGCTGGAGTAAGATCAATCACGTTTTAGGAGCAGTGGCTATTATGGCGAGATGATAATGGCATCGGTTGTTATGGTGGGTGTTTTCATATAATGATCTTGGAGAAATGTTAACAAGACGACAGCGAACGGTTGTATCACGTATTGAGAATTCGATGTACAATATTGTGTTGGTGACATTTGTGTCTTTCTGATTTGGTGTCACTAGCAAGTAGTCCAACAGTTTGCATTATGACCTCTACTGAACGAGATTTTTCTAAATTGGTTCTACTCTAGGTATTCATGGTAGTGTTCTACTAATTTCGTTGCTCTGGTACTCATAGTACTAGTACACTTAGTACACTTTATAATAAAATCATCTTATTATATTTTTGTTTCATTAATTTGATATCTCACCATAGTTGAATATGTTCTACTGTATTAATTCGTTTACTTTAAAACTTATAACATTATTGTAATGCTATCTGATCTCAGTGTCAGTCTATTTAGTCGCTATTATATTACTTGTACACTAAGTATACCATTTTGCCTTACATTACATGTCTTACTTAAAATTATTAAACGCTTATTTGAATAAAATTCTTGACTATGAGTTTAATGCTTATTCTGAGTTATGTAGTCTGAAATTAGCAGAATAAACTTTTAAAGAGTAAACAAACGATGATTAAGTTGGAAGAAAGGGCATTCAACTTGAAGAACTTTAAAGACATAAAGGTAAAACGTTATGAAATGAAATCTCCAAAATGCTCCAAGAACAATATTCCATATCATCTCATACGTTCACACAAGGCGTGTGAAGCCACGGTCTGTTGCGCACGCGTCTTCGGTAACGTCTTGTACGATACGGTTCGTGGTGCACGTGGGAATGTGTTTCGGAGTTCAGTTTCGGGGAAGGGAAATTAACTGGTTTTGGTGAAACTGATTAGTTTGGATTAGCTGCATTGTGTGGTTTAACTTGGGTACAAAAACATTGACCATTAAGTTAATACGAAATTTGGTATCACATAAGCAAATAAAGATAAAGTAAGTAAAAAAAAGATGCTCATATAAATAAAAGGATCGATTGTTTCTCACTGTAACAGACGTCGAAATTATACACGAAACTTTTTTAAACCGACCTATCGAATTTCACCCACTTTCCGTTAACCGAACGAGATTTATTGAAATCGGTTCACGGAAACTAGGCGAAATTCAATAAACCGGAATCATCCCCTAAATTGCCACCCTTAGAGTTGGATTCTCTTTAAATTTGACTGTGACTACCAGAGACGTATCCTTTGCACAATAAATAAATAAATAACAACTACTTGAGTTTCAAATCCACAACATGTCTAAAACAAAATCCTTACTAGAAAATCGCATTGCAATAATAGGTAAACATTAGAAAAAGTACAAAGCATACTCGAAGAAGCAAATCGCAGTTCATCAACAATTGTTCCATAAAATTGTGGTCACAGTTCTGAACACAGGGTAGTTCCCACGTTGACCTGACCCGGTAATTTATTGGCTCCTTCTACCTGACCGCACCTGCGCCTTAAGACATCAGGGTTGTCTACATGTTGGAAGTTTTTTCGTTGTTTATTACTTTACTTCCTCTTTGTTAACTGGTTACAATCCATTTCGACCGCATCGGGTTTTATTGGTAACGTTTTTAAATATGTTATTAGCGCTAATACTTGACTATTTATTGTTACGTATCGAAGTTTTAAGTAGTTGCTGATTTGTAGATTTTCCACTTACTAATCCAGATGTTAAAGCCGTGGTAGCCTCTAAAGCAGAGACCGTGGGTTTGCATTTGAGCTCGCCTGTGAGTTTTTCGGAATTTTTATGCGAAAATTAAATTTTTTTATGTGTAAATTTAATTTGAAATTTACCATACGATTTTCGGTGAAGGAAAACATCAAAATTTGCAAGTCGACGAAGGAATATCGTGCCCAGCAGTCGGACGTACAAATGGGTTTATGTTGAATACAGGTGTTTCTTTATACCTATGTAAAACGGCATTAATAGTTATTTTATTTACATGTGTTTTCATCTTTCAGATTTTATATTTTATGTTAACTCATATAATGTTTTTTTACAAAACCAAGTGATGGGACGAACAAGCGTACACCTGGTGGTAAGTGACACGCCGCTTTTGTCCAGAATAGTTGCAGTGCTGCTCAGAGCTTTAAATCACAAAGATCTGAGGGGCACTGCCACTGCGCCTGTCGAAAGGACGCATTAGTTGATAAGTCACATGTGCCTGTAATTTCACCAGCACCCTTACCCTTATTTCAGTTTACCTTTGAAGAACTGAGAGTATAGTTGTAAAACATGCGTTTTGTTACTTCTCAAGATACAGGTAGCAGCCCTGTGCTCACTCACCGTCACTGTAGTATGATTTTCTTAAGTCTTGGGACACATGAGGTCATAGTTAAAGAAGTAAAAACTAAAGGTGGGGCGTTATGGGAACTGAACACGGTAACATCACACTGTAAGTGCGCACCAAGCCTTACTGACTTGTAATTTAGTATTTTGAATAAATTAGCACTTACTACGTTTTAGTTTTCCTATTAACATTGCTTAATTGTTTCATTTGATATGTCATAATATACGTACATATGTTTTTGCTTTCGTCATTTTTTTGCATGATAGCACGTTTCAAGTTAATTAAAATTTTATTATAGTATTTGAATACCTTTAGCAATAACATTAATATAAAAGCTAAAAAATATAATAATGGAGTTAACTGTGTAGATGAATAATGTTTTATTTCCAAATTAAGGTTTCTGCTATAGGAAATTCAAATTGCGTAAGGATTTGCTCCATAGACTTTTCTTAATTAAATAATAAGTGCGCATTTCACTTCCATCTCACCTGATGAAAAGTGCATGCACTCCTAAATAATGCATATTCAGGGAATAAGTCTGCAGTCAGAGAATTCCACTCCACACCCGTTCGCCATATAAATATGGAAGATATAGGGGTGGAACCCCAGCCTACGTTTAGTCCCCCGATGATGGAAAAGGGAAGACTTTAAATCGTGCAATTTATGCGAAATTTACTAATTCTATTGGATAATCTTTTGAACAAGATTCTTCAACCATAGACCTTATGACAACTCTTTACAAAGCCTCCACCTTTAAAAGGAAACATCGACACGATAAGAAGAAAATGAAAATTGTTTCCTTTCGATTATGGATAGTTCCATTTTGTTCTTTTTATAATATCAAGTGACAGGACGAACGAGTTGTGGATTTGGTGTAAGTGAGACACTTACCCATACAGTTGCAGACATCTCAAAGCCTTAACGCCCATCTCCCTGAGTCCTAAAGTTGACAAATACCACGTGCTTATAATTTCACTTTAACCGTTCAAAACTGAAATAGGCAAGGTGACAATACTTTCTTGGACTGCTAAAAAAGTGTCAAAGTCTTGTAGTGATAGGATTTTGTCTATTTAATAAACAAATTATAAGTTCACCTTAAGAACTTATCGATTGCAACTAGGAATTATTGATTGCATACAATCACGGATACAAAGCACAACGTGACTTCGTAACATGACAATATCATGAAAAAATCCAATTATATGTTCAAAGCATTTTCATTGAAGGATATACTTCACTTCAGGCATGTGAATTATAGAAAAAAAAAAACAATAATGGCACTATTGTCCATTGCATCAAGGATGTCTTGTTTTTTACAAGAGTTTTGCAAAACAATTATCTATGTGTAAGATTCCGTGATTGAGTAAACTAGTTACAATGGGATATGAATATCGCAATCTTATCATGGCGTATTTATGTTTCTTTGATATTTTTTTAAGTTTTCCTTGTTCTTATATAAGAATATAAGAACACTGGCTTATAGTTCAAGAGAACTGTAAGTCAGAATTGCCTATTATGTGGTATGTGGAATTTGATTTCATTGTATATTAGACTAAAGTCGAAATTAGTTTCTTTGAAATGCAATACATTAACAACACTGGGTGTATAATTTAAAAAAGTGTACCTTATTTTACAGTAACCTATTTATTAAATGTTAGTCCTTATTGACATTGTATGAAAACGTTCACAATGACGACTTCACAAACAATCTCGGGTTGCTAGTTTCTTTTAATTTAAGCCTTATATGTATGCATTGTTCTAGAAAATTGAAATTTTTTGAACTATACTTAAATTATAGACTTCTTGAGCTTTTGTGATTGTTGGTAATTACTTAATTTTTTTGGGTCTAAATTGTATACATTTTTTACTCTTTATAAGACCCATGTTGTAAACAAATCTTTAGCTTCTTATAACCAATCAAGTACCAAAGTATTGACCCCAAAGAAGGACGAAGAAATGGGAGTTGAGCTAATTGAAGTAAACACAAAATCTTCAATGTGATTTTCAAATTACTCCCCCATTTTAAGCAACCTACGACCTGTTCCCACGATCACGGTCCAAGACACAAGACTTTTCCGCCCCGTTGCGCTTACGACGACCACGCACTGAACTATGGCTTTGTGTGAACTACATTCAATACCAAAACAAAGGCAGTTATGGCTACATGAAAGTTGAGAAAGGAGTTGCATAACTCATAACACCGCAGCAAAAAATACAGAAATAAAGATAACAGTATAATAGTAAAGAAATTTCGTGAAATTATTAATATTTTGTTGAAAGTGCAATAAGGTCATAAAGATTTTAAAATTATTGAAGTAACTATAAGCAAATGAACAGCTGGAGTAGTAAATGGAAAACAACATAGTCGGGTCTTTGTCACTGATAAATTGAACTGAAAACTATATTTCTAACGATAAATTTCTTACTTTTCCCTGTCTTTTTAATTATTTATCGAATCTGTTTCTCTTTTTTCGTTTCTATCTCAAACATTAGTATCGGAATTTTCTTTCTTATCTAGAATACAAGCTACGCATAGTCTATTGAACAATATAAATAAATAACTTACCTTAATATGTGTCATTCGATGGTAATACAAATTGGAACTGGCTGTAAATCTCTTTCCGCAGTGTTGACATTGATGAGGTTTTTCACCGGAATGTATTCTTCTATGGGTGTTAAGACTACTTGACGTACTGAATCCCTTGTTGCAGACCATACAAACATGCGGTTTTTCACCTAAAATAATTATATACATTTTTATCAACAAAGTTTGTATCAGTATAAGTATCTATATGCCTATTTGGCAAAACAACATAATTTGATGCCTATAAAATTTATTCCATACAACAATTATCGTCAACTAGAAATATGTAACTAATGTGAAATAATCTAAAACACTAAGCATAGTAAACGAAAGAATTGAAAGTCACGTCACTATTGTGTAGTACTGAATGAATGGTAAAGAAAATGTACTTGACATACCTGTGTGTGTTCTCATATGTCTCTTCAATAACGAAGGTCTATCAAAGGCCTTTCCACAGACTTCACAAGGTAACAGCGCTCTCTCTGATTTCGCAGGCCTTCTTTGAATCTTAGGAGTCATCTCTAAGATCTCACTCGAACCGACTGATGACGATGTGAGAGAATCTCCTGAGACCGATTTGTGTTCATCCTCAGTTCCCGATGGTGGCGATATTGGTAATAATACCCGGGATAAGAGAGAAGTGGATAGGTCTAATGGAGAATCTGAGAATAGAAAATAGAATTTCATTAAGTAATTTGAATAAATCGTCACAGAGTGTTACGAGTTATTGCTAGTTAAAATTGCTTTTAAAGCGATTCGACTACAAACAAAATATGTTGTCATAAAATTAACCGGGTGATCAAGTGATCCAATCTAGTCGATATTTAGAGCGGATATAATGACAACCGTAAAAACCATATGAATGTCTTAACGCAATATTTATGTTTATACCATCCTGTCGTCTCTGTTTCTCAATTATTAACAGAAAACTATTATTTGAGCTATGCGGGTTCGATCACCAGTTATAATCTATTGAGATTGGCAATAAATCTTAGGAGCTGAAGTCTCTGTCGTAAGATGGAGAAGTTTAATTAGTCGCAGCGTGTTTCTATTCCAGATCAACGGATATGTATATTCGTTATCCGGTGCACGGATAGGTATATTTCAAGATCGGAGGATAGGAAATACTCTATATGGCGCGGGAACTAGACAGATGGTAGTAAGATACTATCTTGTGCGTCTTTGCGTTCTCTATTTGCGAATTCACCGACAACCTTGCTAAGAATTTTGTTAAAAGCATCTATTTCTTCAATATCATCAATTATGTGTTCAACTTTTTTTTTTGTTTTGATAGCGGCTTTATTCACAAAGTTCGTAAGTCGTATGCATTTTTATAAAGTACATCCGTCGACAGCTGCGTTGGAATAATCGATATGGTCTCAGTGCCGATCGGATCGGTCTGCATTGAAGCAAACGAAGCCGCTTTCGTTATCGATTCATATGTAACTTAACTGGTCGGTAAAAGGTTTGTTTATAATAATAAAGAGATTGCTACTGCAACATTGGATTTAGTACCTTGCTTCAAATTTAAGTATTTTTAAAGGACTTGATTAAATTTTAAATAATATAAGAATTAAATAAAAAAAATACTTCCAAAAAAGTGCTATAATGCAACGGTATCTAATAAAAAATTAATTACAGTTAATAGAAAAAAAATCTTAATATTAAATTTGTTTGAACTAGAACAACAGATCTTTCAACTCTTCAGACTACGTTAAAACTGTTTTTGGCATTATAAAGTATTCAAGCATTCAAGAAAATTATTTACATTCAAGCGTTTTTCAAGGATCGTACTTAAACCCGTAGTCTCATACCAACTACGTTTCAAAAGGAACAATATCTCACGTTCCACTATCACCAGCAGTTCATCACACACTGGCCATTGCCTAACGCGATAAAAAAGCAATCATGACGGCCGACTACCGAACCGAGACGCCTGCGCAGGAATGTCCTTTGATGCGCCGACCGGACTAGTATGGGAAACGATATTCGCCGATGCGATAGCGTGAATTTTATTTCACTCTGAATTTAATCTGTTAAGTTATGGATGTAATAATTACGTTAGTTTTTAAGTTCATTGTTGTTGTTGTTGAACATGAGTATGGGCAGGGTTTAAGCCTACTCAATAGCCCCTTGGAACAAGTTTGATAATTTGACTATCTAAAAATCTTTGTTTCAAACAACATGTACAGCGTTCAGGTGAAAATACTTATTTACAACGGCTTAGTTAGGATAGTATTCAAATGTGGAAGTATGGTGAGGCGACCCCACAATGCTGTTAACTCACTGTATTTGGAACGTGTCCAAAAGCTCTTTTTATGGGAGGTTATCTTTCTTTATTGGTCTTTCTAAAAGAAACTCTAATCATGCGACAGGAGATTTGAGCATTTTAAAATTTCGCCTCTTTCGAAGTGCAGAGAACTATTAGATATGGTTTTCCTTTATTAGATTATTCGTAATAAGGTTCTGTCCTCATCTGTTTGGTAATTTAAATTTTAAGGTTCCCGACACACTTCCGAGATTTTACATAATGCTTTTTCACTCACCAAAACTGGGTTCCAACTCCCCCGTAGTTCGTAAGTCTAATTTATATAATGCCTGCTTCAAACATGCAGAATTTTTCGTTGACTCATTGTTGGGTTTCAGAAACAAAATTCTTAATTTTCTTTATTCGGGCAACAGATACTAAATAAGAAACATAGCAACGTTTCTTATTTAGCCGCTCACGCGATGCGCTCCTCCTACCGCAAAATGGTGGCTATTTGGTTTCGCAAATTAGAAAAGCATTCGGTTTAAATACAAGTTTTTATAAATAAAAATTATTATTCTGCATTGCTAAATAAATACCCTCTGTACTATCAACAAAAACATCTCAAATAAAATGCAGTAATACACCGCAAATCCTGCACTTAAAAAGCACTAATGAAATTTTTGGTGTACCTGGATAAATATGATAATATTCCGTTTGAGTGGTTCTAACGTTTACCATGTAATTACTCCTTAAAGTATAGTTTATAAACATTTATATTCAGGGTAAACTTAAAAAACGCTACTTACGGTATGTTTTCAATAAATAAACACCGAAATCACCAGCCCAAACAATAACACACACGATTGTCGTGACGTATTTTTGAAGTTGTTTATTTTTTTTAATGCCAGACCCAGGCATTAAAAACTTTATGGTTTGCTAGAGTAGTTACCGAAATAGCAATTAAAATTAGTTCTTTTACCTGTTAAAACTTCGATATCCGATAAATCGGTATAAAATCATCACCGGCACCGCTAGGTGTGGTATGCGTCTACGGCTGCATGTATCGCGTGAGCGGTTATTCTCTGAATTGTGTTGTGTAATCTACTTTTAAAAAAATCTTCCTAAGTTATTATTTTTTTAATCTTAAAATTATTCTTGGTGCTTTAAATAAACACTGTTTAAATATTTTTTTTCTATGAGGCGCCTATAATTGATGAACCTATAATTAGTTACGCAATTAAACTAAGTTTTTGAAATGTATTAATACCTACATGAACTTTTAAAGTAACCGTTGGTGTGCCTAATAAATAAATATAGTATGATTACGTAGAGAGGTAAAACGAGAGGAATACCAATAATAACGTACAGTGACCAAATAAAGAAGAACACCAAGGTGAGCGGTTATAAAGAGGTCAAGAAGCCGTGGATTGGAGGAGGCTACGCCTACAAGTGCCTGGCTCTTAAATATAATAATGAAAGGCGATCAATTTCATGACGGTTTCCTGGTAACACTTAATAACTAAGTACACTCTAACAAGGTCATTTGATATTTTATAAGCTTAATGGGAGCAAAAATACATTTTAAGCTGTAATTTATGAAATGTAAAAGCGTGGCAAGCATGTAAAGCCGAGCTTAAACATTTACGTGCCAATTAAACTTCCTTATAATATCTTAATCAGATTCAGTTTACGATGCAAGAAATCAACCTCGTATTGAGTATAAGGCGTAAAAGAAAATTCTTTTAGGTTAATGTATGGAGATAATTAGCTTTTCATCACTATTTTATGAGAAAATAAAATCAGATAAGACTAGCGAGTTTATATCAGACTTTGTTGCAAATAAATACTCGTATGTGGACGTGGCGAACATAGTGTAGGTAATAAAGAGTTAAAGATAGGTAATATAATTAGTGTTACGTCGAAGAAACACAGATCTTCTATAAATGTAAGAGATGCCATTACAAACACAATAAAGGGTAAACTATGCTATATAGAATAACTGATGGAAATGAGTTCTGGATTAAAAACTATACTCCCTCTGACCAAATAGAGTGACGATCTGCAATAGCTGGCAGAAAATGCATGCGATAATCCGAGAACTGGACTGCTGATGATGATGATGCTATAAGGTGCACTGAAACCTAACACTTGTAAAAAGCTACAAGACTATCCAACCAGAGAAATCGCTCTTTTAGCGCCCTTGCAAGTAAGTAACATTTACATATATTATCACACATTTAAAAATGAATAATTGTTTGTATGTTTGGTTCATATGCGTTCCATTATTATTCAGGTGACTGCGATAAAAGTTTTGTGTGTCGTTGTGCCTATACCGCCAAAAGTTTTTGAAGTATTAGATCCAGTAAAGGCCTACTTTTTCACGAGTTAAATACTTACTATATTTATACTTTGTTAGCTAGTGTTCAATAAAAAAAGAAGCAAGTAAAATATTTCATTGCTATTTCATGTTTGTGAACAAAGCGTTTACTAGAAGATTTTGCCGGCCCATCACTTTAAATTTAGCACTTCAAATTATTTAGTACCCGGTCCAGTAATAAACATGTGTTTGTTCCGTATGCACTAGCGATTGATCTACTTTCTCTTTAACGTTTTTGCTAGCGCCACTTTATAATTAATTAAAATATTAAGGCGTATATGTGCCCACATAGACATGGCATGTTTGTAACGGTGAGCAATTTAGGAAATGGCTGTCGAAATTAAAATTGGTCGTGGTTTTAGGAATTTGGCTTTTCACTTTTAATTTGCTTTGAGTTAAATCGAATTTATGCTCTAATTTTAATTCCGCGCTTTCACAGTTTTCTTAGGTAACTGTTTATGTTTCTTAAAAAAACATTATTTAGATATTTTGCTGTAACAATAATTTTCGTCGTTTTGATATAGTTATCACATAACATTTAAATTGTGTAAAGTGTTAATTAGCAACAAGGAAATTTTTAGTGAGTCTCTTTCTTGTGTTTGTTATTTTGTTGACCGATAATTTGAAATGTATTTAAATTAAAATTTGGTACCGTCAAAATCAAGACGATAATTTAATATCCTCACCTTCTAATATTGAGTCCATGGTCTGTCTATATAAGTTATTCCTCATCTTCACAAAGAACATTTCCTCAGGTCTTTCGGGAAGGTAGTACACTACCAGCTCTGTATGGGCTGACACTGGTTTGACGGCTTCATAGACTGGTTCGCCTTTTACTTTTGTGCAGACTAGGTTTACCTGGACAAGTATTGAATGGTTTCGTGAGTATTTCCACACACTTTACTCCTTTATGAACCAAAAGGAGTAAAGATCAGTTTTGTTTGTTATATGAACTAAGCGGAAATATCTAAGTATAATAATATCTAAATATGATTGGTTACTGTAACATTGCTTTCCTCAGATTCGCTTTTGTAAATAATGGTCCAAAATCTCTGGGGCAAACGTATTGAAGCTACAATCTATAACGTTCTGTAGATTAAAATATGATCAAAATATTTGCTAGTCTGTTTTGTAATTTGAATAATGAATCGATAATTTTCATTATACACATAATTTAAATACGATTTCTAAGATGCGCTTTAATTTCTTCGGTGGGTACACAGCGAAATGTAAAGTAAAAAAAAACATCAAATATCAATTATAGAACTTTTTGCTTAACCTTAATTTGGAAGTGAAAAGTATACTCACTTGTGGTCCATAATTTTCTGAAACGCGCAGAAATCGAACCCAGTTACAGTGACGAACTTGTATTCCTCCAGACGTGCAAACTTCATCAAAGAGGCCAAATCGATGACGAATCTGTAAAGAATAAAAAAATGTTAAGAAAAAGAAGGAGAAAACGTTTTGTATGTAGTTTGTCACAAACATTTAAAAGTCAGCTCCAACATATGACATATAAATTGTACATTCGTGCTTTTAACGTTATTTATTAACACAACTTTTACTTCTAAATATGGAAATTTGTTTATGGTGTTTGAATACTCAGCCTTATTGTATAAGAATGTTAGTAATTAGACCAAGAATTTCCCTTGTATGTGTGTAATTTAGAGCCCTACTCTGCGGCGGCTTGTACATGTGAATTTATATCTTTCTAACGATGTAGAAAAATATCGTTATGTAACCTACATGTTGAACAAGGTTTACAATCCCTAAGAAACATGCGAAATCCCCAATCTACATTGGGTCAGCCTGGTACATGGGAGGTTTATTGCGTTGACAATCGTAATGATGAAGATGATGTGGAATATAAAACAAAAAATTGTCATTTTCTGTTGGATTTTTTATTTATTTGCCAGTTTATTAATTTGACTATCTCGCCCAATAGTTATAGTATTCCGTAAGCGCTAGACGAGGAGGTCCCGGAAAAGAACTTTTCTGAATCTATTTTCTGATTTTAGGATGGGTGTTCTAGGAAGTGCCCAAGGTGAATTCCGTTGCTATAGTACTCATAGTACAGGGTATTCCCTAGTTTGAGACCAGGAATTGGTGTGGTTGTCTGGCATATTATTATTCCCCGGCAATGGCACAGTCGGCCGGGTTCAGGAACTCAGGTTCAAGAACCGGCAAACATTACGTTCTGTATTGAGCAGGACCGCCTTCCGCATTTGTGCTGGATGCGATAATAATAACGCATACACTCATTATATTATTATTATTATTATCTATATAAGAATCTCCTAAAAGGCTCTCCTAAGGCCTAAAAGATTAATTTAGAATGTTTAAGTGGGAGAGGCGATATTCCACGGCAATTTATTATTATTATTATTAATAAAAAACAAAAACAGTCAAATGTTTTCTTTACACTTGTGACGTCATCTTGCTGTGCACTGAAATAATTTTTTCAATAACCAATACAACTTTCATTTAAATTTTAATTCCCACATCAGCTTATAAGAAAACTTTTTAAAGCAATAATTTACTCCAACAAACCATAAATTATTAAGAAGCTACGATTAAATCCTCATTTCAATTACCCATTACACTTATCAAGAGATTAGACGTACTGAGTAAAATAGTTAGAGTGCAATATGCATAGCTAGATTATCGTAACGCGATGTAAATTGCGTGCGTTTCCCTAATCGGACCCCTAGACAACTTACCGAGCAGATGTGTCATTACCACAAACGTAACCTTGTAAAGTAACTGCCTACTTCTGTTCAAAAATTTATTTTCATAATTTCTTTATTCGTTAAATAAATTCAACGACCTATTACAATCAAAATTTGTAGACTTTGTAAGTCTAAGTCTGTACAAGGTTTTTTGGAAAGACTATTTGTAAATACTTACAGAGAGAAATAATGTATTTATTCATTATATATATAAAGCTACAAACCCTGACTCACTTAGAAAAATAGATACCCTGGTCGGGAAGTAAAAAATGTTCGAAATTCAAATAAACAAGATGGCCGCCATACAAATTTCAAAGCCTCTGGGTAAACCTCTAGGATAGGTAGGAGGTGCTCGAATGAATGTCATAGAGGATAAAACTGGTCAACTGCCTGGGTTAAAAAAATTCAAGATGGCGATGTCAATTGCTCAAATCCCTTTGAAAATTGGCATATGAGCGTCTCTAGGAGTTCTTGATAATAATTTGTGATCAAAATTGGTTTTTCGTCATTTTTCAATATGGCTACCATAGAAGGGTTTTTTGGCGGCAGATGAAAATTTGCTCTAATTCGATTGAAAATCGGCATGTGGGTCCCTGGGTGTTAAATAATAATTTTCGACCAAAATTTATTTTTCGTCATTTTTCAATATGGCTGCCTTACAAAATTTTTTTAAAGGTTGATAAAATTTTGCTTTAATTCTACTGAAAATCGCCATCAGGGGTTCTCTATTGGTGTTTAATAATAATTTGCAGTTAAAATTTACTTTTTGCCATTTAAAACATGGCCGCCATTAAAGAGCTACGTTAATTTTTTTTTAATCATAAGTGATGAGGCCGTAGGACGAGATCTAGCCCGAAGCGTCCGCACGCCACCTTACGTAGGTAGTATACGGGGACTAGATTTCACAATTGTTCAAAATGTAAGGCATACTTCCCGATGCAATAATATCTTGTATCTGTCTCTCTATTAGATTCTTTTTTATTGGAAGCTTGCCAAAAAGAGAAGTATTTAGGGAAAAAATGCCAGACAATCACTTCAAAATTCTGGTCTCAAACTAGGGAATTTCCTGTACTATGAGTACCAGAGTACCGATAATTCTGAAGGCAATACCCAGAATACCCTGACCAGGATCAACTTAAAAATGTTTTTTTTCATAAATTGGCTCAAATAAGGGATCGAATCTGGAACTTCAAGCGCCCATAGTACTAATCACTGTATAAAATAATACTAATAATTATAAAAAAAGTATCAATAAAATCCGTCACGTCTGTATTCAGTCATAATAAATAAATATAGTTTATCTGACGATACAGGTATTTTATTCAAATTTCTCTGTCACGTCTATAACATTCATAATCATTTTCTATGACCACGTTAGCTTTCAACTAACCGCCTTACTGAGGTTATGCATAATGACGTGAAAATTACAACGAATATGAGCGAGTCAAGTGCGCTTGCGCCGCAAGATTCAATTCCACAATTAATGGACTAGGAGTTGTAGTAGCATGTATGAGATGCGCCGGTATTTCTTATAATCTAGACGAGTAAAGTTCTGAGTTTATAAAATTCTAAATATAGCGGAATAGTAGCAGGAATTATTTGTAGTCTACTCTAGGGTACTCTATCTATTTCTATAAAAAACAGCACTGTCCTGTTTCACACTGAGGACGAATCAACGCAATTGCAGGCTTCTATATTCTATAAACGATGGTACCGTTTTCAATCAAAAGGACAGTCTGCATGTTTAAATAAAGGAAAAACAACGTTGCATTTGTGTGCATTACTACCAAAAAAGCACTTATATATACAGTGCACATGGCCTAATATGAAATCAACGTAAACGCGAATACGTGGGTGGTAGAAGAATGGAACTACACAAAGATGTTGTAAACATTTTGTTTATAAATCGTTTTGCAACACTAATCTTTGAATACGGAATGAATTTATTATCAGTAAAACTCCTTGTGAAAATCTTCCTCCAGGAAATGGCTGCCACATTACTTATTACTGTCGCCAAGCAGCAGGCAAGCATTAATGTGTTACGGGTTCATGGGACTTATCAAATTATGTTTCAGGGTGACGAGCGCAGTGAGAACGCTCCTCAGATCTTTGCCATTTAAAGCTCTAAGTGGCATACTGCAACTGTCATAGCCAGGCCTGTCGCTTATCATCAGGCGCATGACTTGTTCGTCCCGTCACTTGGTATTATATATAAAAAAAGAAATATTGCTCAATTACCTTACACGTTAAACAGAGTCGTAGAATAATTAACTCTAAGAAAACTTCGATTAATTCCCTGTCTGTCCACCGTCGGTTTTATATTACCAAACTGTGATATAATTCCCTGTAATCTTGTCCGCCGCTTCCATAATGATTATTTAACACGATCCAATATATAATAACACTGAATAGTGGTACAATATTAGTATAAATTTACATTTTTATTGCACTTTGATATATTTGGTGGTTCTTGATTATGTTCACGACTTGAATATTAATTTTTTACATATATAACGTTGTTTTTAGATAAGATGGTATTTATTGATGTAATTATTTTAATCGTATGGATCACGAGCAATAAAAATCAAAATTATACTAGCTTCTGCTCGCTACTTCTTTCACATAAAAAGTGTCATTTATATACTTATTTAATGTCAACTTTTCGCGACATGTTATGAAAATCCGTTCTAATGTTTTGTATAATCGAGATATGATCGTTTAAACTTTTGCAATTATGATAGTGCGGGATTTGTTGTTCATATCATGTCCATCACTGCATGCTATGCTACTGGACACTGTAGTGTAACGTTAGTTAACATTTAACTGCCTCCATGGCCGAACAGTAGCTATGCTGGACTACCACGCAGAGGTCATAAGTTCGATTCCCAGGCCTAGAGAAATATGAGTATGGGCTACATTTATATCTCTCGTGAGTTTGGGTGTAATTTGTGGTTGTCCATGGCACCCGCAATACAGGGTTTCCCTAGAGCGGGGCTATGAGTGTGTGCGTCATTATTATGATTACACTGGTATCTCTCACAATACAGTGTTATCTTTCTATGTTTCAATTTCATAATTCCTAACAAATTTGTTATTCATCGAAACACAAAGGAAAATTCTTTCGATTTAACTGGACGTGAACCAATGACTTTTGCCACGCCAGGGCCACCGCTCTTATGCAACTGAGCTACAAGAATGTCATACTTAAACATTATCATATTCAATAAATATTCTGGCTATTTATTTACTGTAAGGGTGCGTATAGACCCGGCGAATGCGCTGCGAAGCGCTGCATGTGCGTTGCACGCGTACAGCACGCGCGCTGCATGCGTGCAGTTAAATACATGTTAATATATGTGGCGCGAGAGCAGCAAGCAAAAACTATCACACTACGTAATGCACGTGTGCAGCTCGCGAGCCTTTCGCAAACAGGTGCATTTCCAGTGCATTCGCCAGATCTGTACGCACCCTTAGCACGAGTTGCATAAAAAACGAAGATAACAAAATAAATATAGTTTTTAAGAATAAAAATAAAATGGTGGAGTATTGTCTATATCATAACAAACATAAAATTATAATTTTCTCGGAACACCCAGGTCAGAATCAATTTTCAAAAAATAATTATTCAAACTAGTCTTACCGGGAATCGAACTCGCAACATTCTTATCTAGCGCTCACAATACGAACCGC